TTGTTTGTTTTTTGTACTTCTTCAAACCTGTACAATAAAATTACATTCAGCCTACTTACCATTCTGATTCTGATGTCCTGTCTGGTGGCTTTTGCAGAAAATTGTTATTGAAATAGTCTTACTTTTACCGAAATTTGGAAATAATATGAAATATTTTTCAGCTGCACTCTTGTGAGAGGTTCCAGTTTTTATTGCCTAACTTGTCTGCATTGGAAATATGTTCATTTATAGCCCACTAATTGTTCAGAAACTTTCATATCATTAAGTTTTCTTTCTAACTCATAGCTGTCCTTTAAAATATCCTCATCAAATAAAAACGTATTTTGATGTATTTCAGCCAACGCAGTACTTTGCAGTGCGGGGAAAAAAACAGAATGGGCACTAGAGGGCAAAGTGAAATTAGAGACAAATGTAAGAATTTTAGGTGAATGTACATGTGTTTTGTCAAGACAGTATTTCAACTCTTTATGAGTATGCTTATCAATGAAGTGCTATTGGTCCACAGAAGGAAACTGAAACAAAAATTAACTATTCTTGAAAAAAACAAGATCTCACAGATTAAAGACAGGAGCTCATAAAGCAACATTTTATTTCACTTATTTTTTGTCCAGCTGTGAGGCAACCGAAATTATTTGTATTAAGACAATATCTATCTAGAAGATATTTAAATATGGGGACCCTGGAATAGTCAAAGTTACGGAACAAATAAAAAGGAAAAAGAAAATTGGAAGCCAATATGCCTTTGTTTTATTCTTACTTTAAAGAAAGGTAAGGATTTTTAAGTGTAAGGTAAGAAAGATGGAGATTCAGCAGATCAATTCACTTCATCTTGCCCTTGTATCATTTTGGAGTAATATGCATTTCATTGCCATTTTGTTACCATGGGAGCTGTGTGTTATGCCCCTGGCTAGCTGAAACCCTCTGGTATTTCTTCCAGGTAGTATTTTTCTAGAAGTTAGATGAGGCAAATTCATACATTATTTTTCAAATGGAAATAAATAAAACAGTAAATGTGAAGTCTCAAGTCCCCATGGATAATTTAGCATTGAAGAAACAAAATCCTTCCAAGAAGGGACTGATCATAAGCCAAGAAGCCTCATAAATTTTTCTCTACGACTCACACACCAGTGCTGTGCAGCACAGGACCCAGTCTCACGGCTAGTCTCACAGCACCTTGTTTATCTGTGTTGTGCTGGACTTAGTCACATTGCACCTTTGGGGACACCGAAAATGGCAAGTTTTCATCTATGCAGAGTTAGTTTTCTGGTGTAGATTTATGAGACTGGGGTCAAAAGCCTTGTCTTCCACACGAAATTTAAGAATAGCTACAGCAGAGCTGGAGAATGCTTATTCCAGACTTTATTTTGGAAAAAATTATTCACAAAGCTCAGTCAGCTATCAACTACAGCTGTTCAAAGCACTTTGTCCATGGGTTTGGCTTGTTCCATCAGCTCTGGCTTAAGTTTTAAATTGAGGAAATAAAAAAAGTAAACCCAAACCAGAAGAAAATCCCAAAGCAAAACAGGACAAAAGCCTGTGGAAATAACACTCCAAACAATCACCCAGGATTAGCCCTTGTTGCTTGTTCTTCAGAGCAGCCCTGGGGAAGTTACAGGGGTGGCCGTGGTGGAGCAGGCAGACTGACACCAGGGCTGGGGCTGTGGGCAGGAAAAGGGATCAAGAACTGCTCTTGGGAAGATGGTGCCCACAGACTGCTACATCCTGCTGGTCTTCACCCCTTTCAGGCCAGTCTGCCCCTTTTTAGGGCTAGCCCTCATCTGTTCTCCCCCTCCCAGTTGTGAAGGAACACTGGATTCTTCCAGGAAGCAAATCAGAGAGAAGATCAAGAAATGACGGCGACAAAGATAGAGAGTAAATTGTGAAAGAAAGTGTCAGTTCTCAGTTTTAAGAGACAGAATGAATTTACTTTGCTTCAGAAATTTAATGCAAAGGAAAACAATATGAACAAAGCAAGTAAGATTGCAATTGATACTTTCCAACAAGGTGATTACTTTTAAATATTCAAAAATATTCAATCCTCATATAGGCAGGTATGAGTAATTTGTACCATAATTTCCCACATTTCTACTGACATCATGATATCCTCAGGAAGGTGCAAGGGCCTTTTCAGTGCTGAGAGTTCCTAGAGGAGCAATCATCCAAGAGGGAATGTGAAGACAATCTTTCTTCTCAGCCTTCACCCATCCCAGTGCCACAACCCAATCTGCAATCTAGAGGGAAGCTACAGTGCTACTGTGGGGCCACCCCTCTGCCACCATACTGCCAACCCCACCATGCTTCCAGACACCATTCAGGCTCTTCATTAGTTGTGCCCTGAATTAATTATTTTTCCCTCTGTATGACTTCAAAATTGAAAATCCCACCTCATGTGAACTGATAGCTCTCTGACTTAATTTCAGTGGAACTGAGGAAGAAGCAATGGCAAGTGATGAGCAGATAGCACAGGGAAATTGAAGTCCTGCCTCAGTTTTCTATACAAGAGGCTGCAAGGTTAGTACATTTTCTAAGACCAACTTTGTAGAGCCCAAGTGCTCACAGTCAGAATCCTAAAACCATATTACTTTCATCAATGAAGAATTCAGTGTTCTAAGCGAATAATATCACCTGCTTTTGAACATGTGAAAGTAAACACAACTAACACTACCTTCTAAAAATTAACGTTAAAGCATGGAAGTGCATTTGCAAGGTCAAAATTCACACTCAGAAGATTAACTACTGAGATTTCACATAACATATCTGGCCCCTGCACAACAGCTACCAGCATAGCTACTCACTGTAACTCTTACTGTCTATGCTATTCCTTAAGTTTCTTATCTTGGTAGACCAGAACCGGCACAACTTCCTCTGGATTTAACTGGAGTACTGTGTGTTACAATTCCCAGAAAGGAAATATCTTGACAGACGTATTTCTATAAAACAGAAAGCTTTTCTTCAACAAAGTAATAAAGCCTATTTGACTTCAACTGTTTTTCAAAATGTTGCTCTCTCTTTAAGCAATTAATATACTTTATTTTCAAGTCTCTTTGGATGGAGTTGTACTCTGTTCTGGTCTCCACTTTTTGGGAAAAACTTGCAAACTTGCATTGGCTATAACATACTTTTTCTTGTGATTATAATATTTAAAAAATTAAAAATAAGTTCCTGCTGCCTGCCATAGAACTCAGAGTGTTGTCCTTGTGACAAGTATTAAATCCTGTCAGAGCTACTCATTTGTATTTTAAAAGGATTTATGTTGGAGGGGTTACTGATCATTAGAAGTAGTTCAAGAGACTGAATGCTTACTTTGCTTTCTCCGTTTTCTTCTTGTTTTTTGTTTGTTTCCTTTTTAAAATACAAATAGGGCACATCTCCCTCTCCTTCCCAGTTTCCCAGAGTTCAGTATTTCTGCAAACCATTAAATTCCTAGAAAATGCCAGAAGCTATCATCAGAACTTCCGTTATGAGAGACTTGGTGAGGACTAACATTTAAATAAAGTGAAATTTCCCAGCCCATCTAGCAGCAATTCCTCTTTATTATTGTAGTAACATATTTGATGGGTTTGTGGGTCTCATCCAGCAATGAAAGTGAGAGCAGTGAACTAGGACATACAGATACTGTAGAAACATGACTCATTTCATAACTGGGTATGTCTTTGATACTTAGTTCATCTTTTCACTGCCTCCGAAGCAAACCTGTGAATCTCCCATGCTGCTGGAAAGAGGCTGGCTCAGAATGAGAAGGAAGGACGTGACAAAGGCTAGGTTTCTTTAACAGAAAATGAGAGATGCTATTGCACTGCTCCCTGGAAGAAAAATCAATTGTAAAAAATTGTTACCCTGAAAAAAACAGATTCTATTGTCCCTGAATATGTAGATTTGGATTCCTTAGGAACAGTAAAAGCAGGTTATAATAATCAGCCTAAAAAGTCATCCTTTGCATCATAGAAATAAGTTTCTTCCATGTGGAGAGGTTTCAAGGAAAAACAGGATTAAGGCGTGCTACAGGAACAGAGTGGTTTGAAGAGAAATAACCATGGAAAACACGGTGTCCCACTCTGCCTGCCAGGAAATCATCCACTAGCCAGGGAGGTATTTTGCACCACTCCAGGACACCACAGACATGGTCTTGCCAGTTTGTGGTGAGCTCAGTGCCACTTGCAATAGGGATGAGACCCAGTAAGGGACATTTTATTTGCCAGCGTTTTGTACCTACACATAACATCCAATGCTAATTACATCCTCAGTGTGCTCCTCACTTATAGCATCAAGTTTCAAATCTCACTGCAAGATGGGGTGTGATTTCAACATGAATGCCTGTGGCAAACTTACTTATTGGCAGAAGGGAGTTTATAAACGAGTTAGGGTATTCCTCATCTGATTTATGCTGAGATATCCCAGACACCTTGGGCAGAACTAAACTAGGAATAACACATGTTTTCACTCTGCTAGTAGTGTCCATATTTCACAGGGCCATGGAAACCCACACATTTCTATAAAATAAGTGGAAAATTCTTTCATCTATCTATCTATCTATCATCTATCTATCTATCTATCTATCTATCTATCTATCTATCTCTATCTCTATCTCTATCTCTATCTCTGTCTTTCTTCTATCTATTTAAAGTTCTCAATTTTTATTTGCCTCCATCCTTCCTTATAATTTGATGGAGTTGATAGCATTGCTGTGGTCCTGATGATTTAAGCATAAAAGAAGCACTACAGTTTTGCATTTCTTCCCTCGAGTAATCTTTCAAAACATTGTTCAGGGTTAAGGAATAAAGTCAGTGGGATTTACACACTAGCTTACTGGTACAACAGTAAGAAACCAATTTAGGTTAGGTTAGGTTAGGTTAGGTTAGGTTAGGTTAGGTTAGGTTAGGTTAGGTTAGGTTAGGTTAGGTTAGGTTAGGTTGTGCTAGGCTGGGCTGGGCTGGGCTGAGCTGACTGAGGGTCAGAGCAAATGTAGCAGAGATATTTGAGTTCAAAAACTTCTTTCTCGGGAAGTGCAGTGCTGTTCCTGCTTACGGTGACGTCGTGGGGTGGGGTAAGAGGAAAGAGGAGGGGTGATCTCCTAACAAACAGCTGTTGCAGCTGCAGAGCGGAAAAAGGAGAAAACTCAGGAGCAACAGCAGCAATCCGACCCCTGCAACAGGTAATACTTCTTGAGTGCAGGTGACACAGACTGATCAAATGCAAAAAGGAAAGGGGAAAAAAACAGTGGGCGGGATGTGCCTGTGGGAGAAAAGTACAGCAGCTGTACTCAGCAGCTCTCTTCTTCCTGAACTACAGAGTTTGCAGCTTGTCATGGGTGGGAAGGGGAAGACACAGAAGTTCAGACCAACATGACTTAATGTGACTTAGAAAAGGAAACCATGTCAGCAGAGGGAATTTTCTAGCAGATCTTGTCTGCTGAGAAAAAGAAAAGAAAAAAAAAAAAAAAAAGGAACATATCTGGTTTCAGCATGAGGGCTGGTTCCTCATGTGTGGTCAGCCAGCACAGGCATGCAGGAAGGCGGCGAGCACAGGAGTCCTGAGGAAAGCAGGGAAGTGCTCTGTGCACGCAGGCCTGGGTGCGACTCTCCATGTGGGACAACCCTGAGAGCATCCTGAGTGTGGCCTTGGTCCTGGCACCCTGCAAGGGACACACAGATGGGGCAAGGGCTGACCTGACCTGACCTGACCTGGGTGCTTCTGCTGTCACCTTAGCTCATGGGGGGAGCAGGGTCCTGACCACCCCTCAGACACTATTTTTGTGATAAAAATAATAAAATGCAACGGTTACACTTAGTGAAATTTCTGCCCAAGGAAATACATCACGCTTTGCAACTAAAATGATAAAATCTTTGCTGCATGCGCTGGTTCTGACATTTCTAACATTTCATCTGGTTTTCTGGTTTTTGAGCCCACAGAGAAAACAGATAAGTTTTCTGCTAAGCAAGGCTGATATTACATATGATAAGTGCATCCCTAGCATTTCAATGTATTTGGCATAAAATCAGCCACAGTAAATAAGGTGAAACTGACAATTAAAACAGCAGACAGCAAATGCAGCCTACTGGGTCTATCTCCTGAAAGACCTATATTTGTTTATTTCTCCTGTCACCTCATCAATGCAGGCAGAGTACTGAAATGTGCTGTGACCACCCTGCCTCCTGCAATGCCTCCAAATAAAAGAAACTTGAATGCCTTAAAGCAAATCACAATACAAGGGAAAGATGTGGCAGTAGGTCAGGCACTAGGGTGGCAAAGTTTGGAAGACTAGCCAGCAAGTCTGAGGCAGGCTCAGGGACTGAACCACTACCTGATGGATAGTCTGTATTTTGTCTGCAACAGTGCTGCAGAAGCAGGTTCTGGAAGTGAAATGTGGAATCACCCCTGCTGCGAACCGATGGGAGTAGGGGATCTAAATAAAGACCATCTCTTCTGCCCTTCCCATTTCACATAGAAGCAGATGCCTGAAATTTGTGTTGTGACACAGAGCTGGGACAGGGAAATGGGTTTTCTTTAGCTTGCTTCTGTTTCTATAGGTAAAAAGGCCAGCCTTTGGATGAGAAGGACCTTGGTGAAAAGTTACATTTCCGCTTCTTTTTATCACACTGAAATCACCTTTCAGTCTGTTCAGATTTCTTCTGTGAAAAGCTTTTGTTTGGTCTTACGTATCTTTTGTGTGGGGATTAACAAAGTAGGCTGAAAAAGCATGGTGCATTCTCAGATCAGGGCTGTTTCTTCACAGTGGAGAGTTTCAGCAAGGGAGGGAACTGTGCTGCTCGCAGCTCTAAGGCCAGGATCTGTCCTCCATGTAACACCAGCACACTGCCCAGCAAAGCACATCTCTACACTCCTTGGGAAATATGGGGCCGTCCATTAATGTCAACAGTCTGTACACATTTCAGCAGTCACTGGTATATTTTTAAAATTATGTGTTTTAACATGCAACAGCTGCCACACTGCCAAAACACTAGTGAGGCTGCATTTACAAATGTTATTCCCTGTTTGGTCAAGATTAAGTACCTTAAGAACTGCAAAAACAACAGTTTTCTAGCCAGCCAATGCAGGAAGAGTTTGGAAAATGCAACCAAATCACTGAAAGACAGGCTCTGAGGATGACAGACAGATGTAGCAAACTAAACTTCAGAAAAGAGAAACCATATGCTCAGCTTGCATCCAGTGTGAAGCCTGCACAGCAGTATCAGACCAAAGAGAGTGGTGGAGCTGCTGACTGGAAAGCCTCAAGATTTTAATGTCTGTTCCTGTAACTTCCATACAGTAATTCCTATCCATCCAGCAATAGGGCTGTTTCTTAACACAGAACAATGTTCTTAATTTTTTGACAACTTCTTCTTACGACAAGATGGAACAAAGAGTCATTCAGTAATAAAACAGATGGAATTTGGGTTAAATATTAATTGATCTCACTGGACTTCAGTTCAATTCAGTTGTATCCTACTTTTCCCAAAAGGAAGGTATATATGGAATAGATTCCTTTGTTTGGGTCCTTATGTGTCTTATTTTCACAGTATCAAAGGATAATGATGCCTTCTGGGAAATATTTTATTCCCACAAATCTTTTTGTGCCTATAGAAGCGTTGGTGTAAATAGCCACCATCTTACATAATTGGAAGAGAGGAAGACAAGCACTTTTTATGACCTCCCTGGGATTTACTTACAATAAAAATTTAGAAGATCAGTTTATCTAGATCAATTTAAATAACTCTGTATTGTTACTTATGGTCCAATGCTAGGAATGAAGTATGGGCATTTATCAAATTTAGATATTTTTGAATGGAGAAATTTGTTCCATTTGTTAATGTACATATAAATGTCTCTTTTTTGGCACAGACATACCACAAGAACACACACAGGATCAAAGCACAATTTGAAGATAATGTTACTTATTAGGGCAGAAAATTAATAGGTCCAACATAGGAGATAAATTCTACTACAAAATTAACAAGCTAATTTCCTAAAAAATAGTCTTACTGCTGGAGGAAAGGTAAGCCTCTCTTTCCAGAATAGACCAGAAGAAAATACATTTATGGGTAATTAGGTATATCCACAGCTTATGAAGTTTTGAAAAAAGTCAGATTGTCCATGAAAATTAGGTTAGAATAGCTGCAAAAGTTAGTCTTCTCCCACAGGAGATTTTGTTTATTAAATGCAACCTGAATCCAGAAGTTAATTGAGAGTCTTTGTTTAGATATTTCTTCCTCTGGAGGCACAAATTTCACTTTATGGCTATAGATCACCCTAATGATTGGTGGGAATTCTGAACATTTTTCTGGGCATATCCTAAGTATAGCAACAATGGGAGCCTTTAATCCATTAGACCAAGTTCTGTTTGGGACCTCTGAGAGACACACACAGTTTTCACTGATCTGTTTATATTTCATAGAATCAAGGAATGGTTTAGATTGAAAGGGACATTAGGAATTGTTATGTTCCATTCAGCTTCATCTAGTTCCAACAGCCCTGCCATGATCAGGGACACCTTGCACTAGTCCATCTTGCTCAGAATGCAGTCCTTCTTGTGGCCTTGAACCCTCCAGGGACAGGGCATCCACAGCTTCTCTGGGGAACCTGTGCCAGTCCCTCATCACCCTCACAGTCAAGACTCTTTCCTTAATATCTAATCTTATCCTTCCCTCTTTCAGTCTAAAGCCATTCTCCCTTGTCCTGACACTACATGTTCTCGTAAAGTCTCCATCTTTTCAAGTTTGCTTCAGGTACTGGAAGGCTACAATTAGGTCATCCTGCAACCTTCTCTACTTCAGGCTGAACAACCCCATTTCTCTCAGCCTTTCCTCACAGGAGAGCTGCTCCATCCCTCTGATAGTCTTGTTGACCCTCCTCTGGACTCACTCGAAGAAATTGATGTTCTTCCTGTGCCGAGGACCCCTCAGCTGGATGCAGCCCTTTAGCTGGGGTTTCACAGAGCAGAGCAGTGTCAGAATCCCCTCCCTCCCCTGCTGCCCACGCTGCTTTGGATGCAGCCCAGGACACGTTTGGCTTTCCAGGCTGCCAGTGCATGGCTGGGTCATGGCTGGCCTCTCCTCCACCAGCACCCCCAGGCCCTCCTTGGCAGAGCTGCTCTCAATTTCAGTTCTTTTCCTTTGATTTATTAACATGTCCAAAGAGGGTTCCATTTCTTACAATGCTGTTTTAAGTCATATGGTTGATTATTTTCACTTTCCACAGCTTTACCATGAACATGTACCTGTTTTTGTATGACTTAATGCAATTCTGTGGACATTCTTGGATATTTACAAATATGATCATCAGGTTCATGACATTTGGAAAAGGTAAGCCTCCTTCTCTATTTCCCTTGAATATTTTAAGCGGCAGTGACAGACACACAGAAATATCAAAGTTAAGATTCTGAACATATTTATGCCCAATACCAGGGACTGTAATTCAACCAGAATGACACTCCATTAAAAAGGCTGAACAAATTACTTGTGCCTGTCTTCTACTCTTGTCACTCTGGGAATGAAGCTTTATATGAACTTTAATATTTAGTGGTACGCTACTAACATTTGAATTAGATATAAGCCTAAATGTGACTAGATCCAGTCAATATGGCAAATATTAATTTTACTGAAGCCACCAGGAGAGAACATATGTGTGATTATTGCACATGACAGTCTCCAAAAACATTACAATATATTTATCTTTCCATTGCTTGGGGTTAAGACACAAAAATAGAAAACTAGTGACTGGTAATTTAATTTAAAATTACTTATGATGGTGGATAGTTGGAGGCATATAAAATGCCTACTTTCTGGATTACTTGTTTTTGGCAGTGCAGATAGAGGCAGGAACTCAACATCTCCTAGTGTTTAGAAGTTCCTCATGCATTTCCTCAACATTTTCTCCTATTTAGAAATACCCTAAAGCAGTATCTCTAAGGTAACATACCCTGCACAGCATTTGCCCATGCATATAGTATAGGGAATTTAATTATTTTCTCAGCTTCCTGCCTCTGTGTCAGAGTCACACACACGGAGGGGATTGCCTCCTCCACTCCCTGAAGGTTTTCTTCTGCTACCCAGAAGTTTGGTACCGTGTGAACTGTATTGCTTGTCATCACCAGTGGTGATAGGGTAAAAGCAAACCTAGTACTTGCTCCAGACTTTTACTGTATAGCCATCCTCTAATCTTCCTCTTAATTTTGCCTATAGAGTCACTGGCTGACACGTTTCACTCCATAGGATTTGTAATGCGCCTTTGCCAGTTGTTATCTGTGTTGGAGATCCTCCACATCCTCATTGGCATTGACAAAAGCCGTCTGCTCCCCAGGTTTTTGCAGGTAAGTTCGTTCTCAAGACTGTCTCATGACTGGCACACATCAGCCACTGCTGCTCCTGGGGCAAGCCCAAGCTGAATTACCCTGAATGTTGCATCTGCACCCTTCCTCAGGCAGCCTGGTTTGCTGGTAGTTTGCTAACTGCAGGAATTGCTTCCTCAGAACTGGTCTGATTGGGAAAGAACTGTCCTGTCAACATTTTCCTTTTTGCGTAAAACTGAGTAATGAGTACCCCATGCTTCGTCCCCAGCACAGACCCAGAAAATGTTCAGATGAGTAGCCATCAGCAGAAGTGGGTCAGTGGCCAATTGCTGTGATCAAATTAAACTCCAGGGAGGCCTGGCCCTTCTAAGTTTCTCCCTACATAACCTCCCAGCATCCCTGTAGTTCCCCCAAGTTATATTCCCCTCCTTCCAGAGGTTATTTTTCCCTGATTTCCAGTAAGTTCTCTGTTTAACCAGGCTGGTCTTTTCCCCTAGTAGTTTATGTTCAGCTGTAGGCAGAAAACCAGCCAAAATATCACATGCTACAGCAGAAAGTGAGATGATACTCTGACGTTTTCCTTGCCACGCTATTTTTTCCCCCTTTTGGGTGCTAATCTCAGGTTTTGTTATTTTTTCTTAATGCACTGGAAAAAGCAAAATGATGACTTGAATTTTTCTTCAAACCTTTTCAATCCTTAGTGTTTGAATAATGGTGAAACTCGTATTTCTCTCAGCAGTCAGAAGACCAAGAGTAGTTAGTTATGTTTTTAGTTTTCTGGATAGCCCACTTTTGTCAAATGACATATTCATGGGTGAAGATGTTCCTCTTTTCAAATTTCCATTAACTAATTGCCTATGTAACTAATTAACTAATTGACTAATACAGATCTCTGTTCTTTACACTGCTTCCTAAGTATGGTAGCAAATTCATCAAAATGCAAATAACCACTTTTCCCTGCCTAAATCCACATGCTTTGATGCTAATCTAGGGGAGAAAGAAGACTCCTGTCTAGTATGACCTGTAACAAATCTCACATGTCTTGGAAAGAAGAGCAGCCTGCTCTTAGTCATTAAAACAAGCCTTGTCCTGGCAGAGTTTACACATTCCCCAGCCCTGACATAGTCTGTTTCCTTCCTAGCCAGACTTACACAAGGCAGAGATCAGGGAAGCCTGCACAAACACTGTTCTCTGTTCTTGCCACAAATGACATTAGTACAAAATGGATATTCTGAGCAAGAAAACTGTGATCTTTCCTGGGCAGTGCAGTTTGAGCAGTGCTCTCCTGGGCAGCATGGAGAGGTGGCTCAGGGCACCATGACTCTCAGGTTTCACCTCACACCAAATATAGTTTTGGATCCTCACTTGGTTCTTTCCCGAGCTGCACTGTCACCGTGAACAACTCTCTTCCCCTGATGTTAGCAGCCGGCTCATGCTGTCCAAACAAGATGTATCAGCTCCCTGGTGGAGACTCTGCAGCCCCGTGGGTTACTTGCTTTTGCTGAGAGGGTAGGTTAAGCAGCTGTGTGCCAACACTGCTCCCACATGCCTCGTCACACTTTTCTTCACTGCCTCTTAGGAAGAAAAAAAGGTATATTTTCCACAATGAACTAGGAAGGAAAGTTAGTTAAGAAATGTTTAACTTGCTGCAGCCTGACTGCTGCACAGTCAGGGCACTGATAAAGGTGCAAGAATTTGATAGTGGCTGCCTGGTGCTGTGCTCCCATCATCTATTCTAACTCTCAGCTTAAAACATACCCCTGTATGCATCCGTCATAACAGGCATATGCATGCACATCCACAGTGAAGTTCACTTGGGGTGATCACTAGGATGAGAGAACAGCTGGCTCAGGCAATGTAGGGAAGCACATGGGTGGAGGTATAAATTAACATTGAATAAGCAAGCTCTGAAAGGGCTCCGTGGCAGCAGGTTGTTCTGTAGGCATTATAGCAAATACAAGATCTAGATGAATCCTTGAGTGAAAGATTTCTGCCTAGCACTGCACTTGTCGTGGTTTAGTAGCATTTAAGAAAAACACTTTGAGATACATGGTACAGATAGTGGAAAAACAAACTGAGAGGAGTCTTCTGGAAAACCCCATTGAGGGAAAAAGTCTCAGGCCACCAGGACCTGAGAAGAGCAAGGTAGGTCAAGGCCAAGTCACACCACGAAAGAAAGATGAGTCCTGTGTGATGGATGTGGTGGGGTAAGGTGAGGCAGGAGATGGTCACAAAGCTGGTGCAGAGGAGTGTCTCTCAGGCCATTTACACCTTAAATAATTGGAGGAGGGCAGGAGAACATGTCACATGTCACTGTTGTCACTGAAACAGAAGGTAATGAAATGTGTTAATCTGGCTAGGGGGTAAAGGCTGACAGAACTTGTACTGTAGCAAGGAGAGAAGAAAGGTCTAAGAAAAGACTGGTGTTTTTGTGAAACAAAGAGCAGTTCTTCATCCTGTGCAAGCAGACTGGATTTACCAAAAGCAATGTACTGTGATTTTGTGATAAAAACATTATTTTTTAACTTTAAATATTTAGTGGTACTTTTCTCACTTTCTCTTGTTGTTTTTTTGTTAATATACACTAAATTGAAGAACTATGTAAGCATTTCAGGTACCGAGTACGAAATTGCACAGTCATGGTTATTAAAAAATGGAAGTGAATGTGCTATTTTCCCTAGACAGATTTGCTCTGTTTCACTTACTTGGGTAAAAAACTCAGTCTGCCTTGCAGAAATTTATGTCACTCTACAGAACTTTCTGTATCCTATGAGAGATCAGTGTCAGAAAAGGAAGATAATTCCACTTTGATTTTTAAAAAAGAAATGAAAACTGAAAACATTATATTTATGCTTTGTGACATGCTAGCACATACTTCCTTTTAATGAATGTGAAAACACAGGACTTGTAGTTTTGTGGTTGCTTTTTTTTTCTTTTTTTGTTAAAGCAAGAGAGTAGCTACAGAGAATAACACATCTTCATTCATGCAAGAACAGATGATCCATAAAGGAAACGATCCACAGCTGAGCAGCAGCACATACATTTTATCTATATGTGTATATGTATGTGTACCAATAAATGTAGATGACTCCATGTATTTATGCAAACAGATAGTTGTGTACATGTATGAACACAATATCAACATATACTACTCTTCTCCAAGAAGCACCCTGCTTCTTCACATGCAGAAAATGTCCCCAGCCTTTGACTAACCCCCGCATTTACCATTGATTTGTGTGGGTTACCTAAAGCTAGGACAGCTATGAAAGAAAAGAGAATAAAGGCAAGCAGGCAGGCAACCAGACAACCTCCTGATTTATGCAGAAAAGGAGGTAGGATGCCACTGTCCATCCTCATGGTGATATCACAATTGTCCTGAGCAGCCAGCTCTGTGTTCTGCCCCACAGATGTGCTCCAGACCAAGGCTATGTCCTTCCAGTTTCACTGTCTGATGGCTGCTTTATGCAGCCCATTGCTTGCCAGTTGAGACTGCAGTCTAACAGGAACAAAGCACTTCAAGGCGACCAGTTTGTGCCATGTCCAATTTCCTGCTCTTGCAGGTGCTAAACATACTTTACAGTCTGATTACTGAGTTTCATCATGTGTAATTAGTAAAGCTGTGTGCCTCCATTGGTCCCCTTCCCCACTGTGAATCTCTGATGGAGGAAATCTGCTGAGCCCCAGGTAGGTGGTTCTCACTGCCTCGTGTTTCTGCTTGTGTCCTGGGGAGAGAAGAAAATTCACAGCTTCTTCCATTTCCAGATTATAAGGCTGAATTGTTTCAAACTGGAGCTTGAAATGGCAACTACCTTCCTACTGCTTGTCCTTTTTCTCAATGAAAGGAGATTAGACCACGATTATTTATGCTGTTTTCTAGCACATTTCCACCCAGCCACCTTCTGAAAGTGAATGACCAATTGGAAAATCTTCCAGCTCTGACATCTAAGAACATGTCCATCTTTTCACTATCAGGATGAAGCCCTTATTCTCTAGGACAACTACCTGTGGCAATTCCCTGAAATAGCTCTTATATTAACAATGTTGCAGACATCTCAAGTCTGATTTTAGGGTCAGTAACAAAATGCCCACATTACTAATGCTGCATGCTTTACCACTCTTCATCTAACAATTTAAACTCAGATTCTATTTTAACTGTTTTCTCTGGCACACAGTCCCACCCAGTGCCCACATGGCTTTTACCTTTGTTTTGATTTTCTTCTTGTGATGGTTTCCATGCACTGTTTCTTGTATCTCTGTTCTATCTGGTTTCAGATCTGCATCAATACTTCCAGTTCCCCCGTGTTTTTGCCATGTTCCTCAGCATCAGTGTACAAACACAGGACATATTAGCTCTCATTTTCTGTTTCCTGACCCATCTATACAGAAGTCTGCCAGCATCTGACCTTTTTAAAAATCAGTTCCTCAGTTAGGGACCTATGGAATCAGCAACACAAGATGATGGTCATAGGAAGATGAGAAGCAGGAAAACCGTTTTTAGCTGTTGTGGCCCCTCAGTGCTTTCCAAGATGAGGAACCAGATCCCTGGGGGATAGACATACTCTCTTTCTGTATGAAAAATTTCTCTGACGTAATTTTGCTGAATAGTGAATGCTGCTTTATCTGACAGATGTGGTCTGCAAAAAAAGAGAGGTTGTGGCCAGAATGGTCCATGCAAGAACCTGTAAATATTATGTAGCAAAACTACAACACAAACTTGCTGAGAGGCAAAATTCCAACTTTGTTCTAGGTAGGAGTCTGGGGAAACCAATGAATAACAACAGCGCTTATAAAAACAACCTCAGTAATCCACTTTCATTTTGCAACTTTTAACTGACTTGATATCTCAACTTGTGAAATCATTACAACTGATGTACCTTATGGAAGACATAGCATTGGGTAGAAAAATCCAACCTAATGAAACTATATCAATTAATACCAACTCCTTAGGTGCATGTTTTCTATTTCAGCACCTTCAAATAGAGTGTAAATTAGAGTGAACTGTTACTGTTCTGGGACAGCTTGACAACTCTTGCCAGCACTGATACATTTACTTTACAGGGCAGGGCATGGACACTGTTAGAAAAGTTGTCAGGAAAGCTGCAAAAAGACACACTTGTTTATTTCTTGAGTTTTAATATTACCAAAGTATTTATTTTAAGCTGGAGACACTGCCTGTTTCATCCACTTAGCTTTTCATTTGTGGGTTGGATAAAGTTCAACCACTAGATACTGTGGCAGTCATTCACGTAAGTGACAAGTTTAAACCCACTTCCTGCAATCAAGAATAAGATGGAAAGAAAGATAAGGAATTCTACTTTTCCTCCTTCGGCAAATCTTACATGAAAGAGATTCCTTGGGACACAGATTTCCAAGATATGAAAACCAGATCTGGGAGTGCAAGATTAGTACTTTTTGGCATAGGACCCACGTCCCCAGCCCCCGCCGAGAAGAGCCCTCTGTATCCTACTGCCTCCCACAGCCTGCAAGCGAGGAAGCTTATCCCTGCCAGCCCTCCAGGTAGTCACGGGAAGCAGGAGTAGTCCTTGCTTCCATGACCTCCCTAGGATCATTCACAGGTTTCCTTGGCTACAAACCCAAGTCATCCCTGTTGACAAGCCAACTTGCACATGGAATGTAACTGGTCTTTGATGCTACAGCCAGCAGTGTCCACTTCTTGTTGCTGAAGGACCTTGAGCAAAAGCAGGCCATGAAACAAATATTCATCACCGATTTTGTGTACAGAAAACTGGATCCATTTGTGGCTTCCTATTTTGCCAAAATGACACAAAAATAACAGTTACATAAGGTGCTACCTGAATTAAAGGCTTTATTTTCTTTTCAGATCACTGAGAGAATAATTGTTTTATTTGTCGTGATCAACAGTCAGGAAGAAGTTCAAGGGAAATATGTCGTCTGTGTTTTATTTTTCCTTTGGAATTTATTAGACGTGATCAGGTAAGGAGTCAACATCAAAACCATGAGGAGAAAATGGGTTATTCTTGCCAGCAGAACTCCATCCCCATTGTGCAGCAAGCTCATTTAATTGTTTCAAAATTGGTAAAGCATATTATCCATTTTTAAATAAAAGATTGAACTTTTAAAGTTAACTAACAATTTTTAGAAAAATCCACATGGTTAAGAGGCAGAGTAATTTACAGATGTAAGAGAGAGTAATGCATTAGCAGACTTCATTAACATTTGTAGTTCAAAGGCCTTGACGTTTTTAACAAAAATTCAGAAGGCAATCACAGCTACCTTCTGGAGAACAGCAATTCCTGAAACCATCATGGTTACCATTACCATCCTGTTGCTTTATTATTTTATTTTTTAACCACTTTGATCCAAGATTGACAGCACAGTGAGGCAGCACCAGTAAAACTTCTTGCAAAGGCAGAAAGACTATTCTGGGTTAACTGCACTGTGCTTTCCAAAAAGCCAAGAGCTCCTGCTGCAGGAGACTGAGATTTTTGGTGTAGCAGGGCATATATCACACCACAAGAACAACAAATACTTCTTATATGTAATATAAGCCGCTATGCACCTGAGTTTTTAGACTCAGACCAGATACATACAGAATTAAGAAACATTTTAAGAAGACACAGCTCTCACAGCAACCTATGTATTGCAGCAAAATTTCTTTTTCTGCTAAAATAGTTTTCTGCTAATTTAAATATATTGCTTAGGGGACTGACTAAAGAAGAATGTTTCAGGCAGCAAAGGAAAAAAGTTATAAAAGAGATCTGAAACAGGAAAGTGTCAGAGAGAATTGATAAAGATTTTAAGTCAGCTTAAGAGCATTTTGAAATACATTTTAATAGGCTGCTACTTGTATTAATTATTTTGATTATAGTTCCATCCCATTTCTTTTTGAAGTTTGTAAAACTAAAACAGTAGAACCTTATCTGAAATGAAAAGGTTCACTGCAGCTGAAGAAATGCCAAAAGTATAAACAATATTGGCTGTGAATTCCCGTCATTGCATAATAGTATCATTGATGCATCATTATTTTCTACACTTGCTAAAGAACAGAGTTAAGCACCACAGCAGTAATAGCAGTTGTTTAACAAGAAAGTACTGTAGTCTATAGCAGAAAATGTCAAATTCAAATAAACCATACAAATTTAGAATTCTTACCTGATTTATTTTACAGCATCTGTGCCATGTCCTAGTATCTCAAAGAAGTATTCATGTCTAAAAGTACATAGGGATCTCTCCTATCCCTTAGCCAACTACTCTTGAAGTATCACAAGTTTTTCCACATAAACCTTCAGGGACATAAATTTCTCTGAAGGACTATTTATTACGCATCATGGCTAGTGATATCCTGAGAGCAAGTTCTGATCTTTCCTGCTCATACTGTAACAGCCCATGGAATTGTATAGAGACAGAGTAGCTGTTTCATTTTTGTACTGGGTTGAGATTCAGCCTTAAAAGCAACAATAATAAGAAATGGAGACAATCCTGAGGTTGCAGAGGGCAACCTTGAGAGTCAGTGGTCCATTTTCAGTCTATCACACTCTTCTACAGTCCAGGTATGATGAAAAATTAATCAAATTAATCAAACTAATAAGAAGGGAATACAGGAAGAATGTTTAAGACTAGTTTCATCTGTAAGAAAGTCTTGGGTAATAAATTTACACATCTCTAGCACGCCCACAGGGCAAAAAGTCTTTCAGCTGACCAAAAATGCAAAAATGGAGAAACACTGTTTCTCCAGTGTTTAGAGAGCTGCTGTACCACTTTAAGATCAAACCAAGATCAGGTCACCTTTGGAAATAGAAGTACTAAGCCTTCTGGTCTCTCAATTAGCAACAGTAACAGCCACAGAAAAAAAAATGCTGCAATACATTGGTGAGCAAGTGCTTTTTTTGGACCTACTATCCCTGCTGAGATCCAGCTGTTATGTATCTGCAATTGCCTTCTTGTTTAACCTTCTCCAGGAGTGATTCAGCTAGCTCAGCAATCATAAATCAGGACTGTTTTGGTCCCAAGCGACTGTGATATTCTGCCTGCTCCTCTCAGTTGTGACACCCTCATCTGAAATCCATTTTCTGATGGACCAGTCTGAAATCATGCTGGTTTCTGATAGACCTTTCTGTCTGGAGGGCTTTATTGCTGTCTGCCTGCTCTAGGGTAACTCTTCTGAAAAAATGAACCATCTAATTTCAGGCATTGAAGTCTGAACGAAAATGTTGCTGGCTCTGAAATTTACTCAGACAGCTCCATGCTCTTCTGCAATTCCTATGAATTTTCCAATAATATATATTTATTCTAAAGACATCATAATTTCCTTAGAGCTCATCTGCTTTCCTCTTATTGCAGGTACACTTACAACATGTTGGCAAGGGTGGGCATATACTACCTACCACTAACATGGCTCAACTTCTCACTATGCATCCCGCTTTATCCCCTTTCAGTTCTGGCTAAAGGTAAGGAGGTGGGAAGAGTACCAACCACTTGTTTCTTTAATATTCTTCAGTAAAATGTGATCACTTCAATTGCCATTAGTGTTTAACATAGTTCCTCATGTGTTGCCAAATATGTACATTCATATTAACCTGTATGTCACCTCTGCCTCTTTTTTCTGTTATTTTTTCTTTAATAGGAACTAGCTGGGGTTTGGGGCTTGTGTGTCTGGTAGGTTTGGGGGTTTTTTGTCTGCTTGGTTTTGTTTAAGTTTTTAAAAATAAGGGAAAATGTTCTTTTTGTCTAAGTAAAAGAGAAAGATACCCTCATAGAATACATATGTGTTCCTCCCTTCCAGACTGAGTATACTAGACAGCAAGTTCCAAAGTTTCTCCCCTGATCAGGCTGACCTTACTGGCTCAGGCCATACTTAGCAGGTTATCATACTTATACCAAGAACTCTGCCCACTGAGAACACACTGAAAGCACTTATTTCTTACAGAACTTGTTATTGAATAGGATATATTTATTAATTCTAGTATATAAAGCAATTAGCACCCCAAACCTACAAAACTGAACTCAAAGAGAAAACATGCATATGTATATGAATGGATATACAGATATATAAAATATATAAAATACAAAAGGTAATTGATTTGTTCATGAAGCTTTTTGATGATCTTCTTCTTCCTTTAGACTAAGGATTTACCATGTTTTTACAGGATTTGCAATTTGGGTATCACTGCCTTACTTTGAATCCTTTGGCACATACTCCATCAAGCTACCATTTCCATTCACCTTCTCAATCTACTTCCCATATGTTCTGAAAATGTACCTGTTAGTGCTCTTTGCAGGTAAGTATCTCATCTTCCAGAAAGCTGGGTCTCAGCACAACTGAGATGGCTATGGCAACAAAAAAATCAAATCTGTACTGGGCCTTTCACAAACTCTAACTCTCTCTGGTACATCTTTTGCAGACCACTGCAGGAAAATGCATCACTACCTATTTTAATTTCTAGTATCTTTCAAATATAAATAGTTGAATTTGAAAGATACACTATGTGTATGGTGCATAAAAACACAAACCTATAAAAGTTGTTTCAGTGATGCTAGCCTTACAGCTATTTAGTGAAACTTGCTTTTATGTTTGCTTTTTTAAAAGAACAATTCCCATTTGATCATACTCTGGCTCTGAGTAACTCTTCCTCACTCACAACTCCTAGCTAGCATGAGAAGTTATATCTAAATTAGGACTTTTACAGCGTGATTATTTAAAGGGATGAAAAACCAAGACAATTCCAAAATCTACATGTAAACAGATCCCTTCTGCATCTCATCAAAATACTTTGGAAAAATTTCAACTGAATTTAGCGGCATCATACAGAAGTCTTTGTTTGGTCATGGGCTTTAAAGTGAATTTGAAGGATCTCATCTTTATGATGTAGTGTTCTGTTTCTAAGTACATGTCAGGAACTGTGCCAAGTTGCCAGATGAAGGTGCTTACAGTTCCTTCTAAATTAATTGAAGACAGTTGGAATTCTACTCCTTTGTTTTTACATTGTTTTGTGTTTTGATTCAGGTATGTGCTTTATCATCCAGAATCTCATCTCTGAGAGAACGGCACACCTAGGGACAGGCAACATCAAAAATAAAAGAAGCTAAGTTGATACTTTGTTTGGAGGGACAAAATATATTCCTAGAGGATTGCTGCCCATCATAGTTAAAAACAAACTGGACAAAGATTTCTCAGTGCAAAACTCCTTAGTATGAACATTATCTGGCTGTGTAGAATTTTCAGAAAAGGCAGATCTCTTGAGCGCACCTCAAAAAAAGAGCAGCTTTTGAAAACTTTGGAATGTTTTGACTTCAAGTGGCTAGAGTTTTAAAATTAATTTTTTCAAACATATGTTATAGAATTCTGAAAAAATTGAAGAGTGCTGCAACTCACAGCCACCCTTATTTCAGTGTTAATTCTTATCTCATTAGCTACAGATATTTTGTAATGACAATATCATTTAATCTGTAAGATTACTTTATACTAGGCCAACATGTAGGAACCTCACATATAAATGCTAAATTGGCTGGAACTGGAATCTCTCAAGGAGCAGAGAGATTGCAACCTAGAGACCAATATGCTAATTAACCCAGGCATTCACTAAGGATCCTTCACATTCAGGCCCCATCCTTCAGTTATGAAAAGAAGGTTCCAGAAAATGCAGCTAAAACAGAAAGGCAAGTGTTAAGGTACTCATCTACTGTATATTCAAGGGGATGTTTAAGGGTCAGAAATAAACATTTATAACCATGTGTTTGGCATGTCAGTCTCTTCTCCCACAATGATTTTCTTCTATGCTGAACTGCAGACAGAAATGTGCAAAAGAAGTGTGATATAGTCAGGTCAAACAATATATTGTTCCTAAAAGGGAACTGAATGACTTACAAAAGCCATGTGCAAAATTCTAGGCATTTTACTCAATTGTATTGCTCCTCATACTTCTCTAGGATAATATGTGAGAATGCAACTAGATCATAGCTTTTCAAAGGTTGGGAATGAGGAATATACACAGCAACCCAGTGGATTATACAGGCAAGAACAGGCAAATAATTCCTTAGAGGCTGGCAGGAGTTTTTCTGATGTTTCATCTGTATTGATTATCATTCACATTTCAATTCAATTCAAGCATGTGGGGGAGAAAAGTGAGACATTTTTTTCTTTTAGCTGAGTGAAAACTGTGGGAAGGGAGCCTAGATAATAGGAATAGGAGAGAAGGTAACATTTAAAGGGAAACTAAACACTGTTACAATATAAAGAGGCTTTTGCCTGTACGACTTTTCAAATCGTGCGGCCTAAGAGGTTATATAAGGAAACAGTGAAGCTAAATTAATTTGTTTTGAAAGGTCACTTACTATAATTTTTAGTTATTTAATACATGTGGCAGACAAAGTGTGCAGACTGTTTTGACCAATGAGTATTTGCAGACCATAAGCAACAAGATCAAGCATAGAATAGTATAGTGTCAACCCTGGATTCGTTTTTTTCAAACCACTGCAAACAGAAATTTGGAACTGAGTAGAGAAACAGGAGTGCCTGAACTTTGGGTTTCTGTCTGACTCAAACTAATTCAACTGTGAACAGTGTGAAGAAAAATACAGAGCCGCTGAATAAGATGACAGTTTTGAGGACAGCCAGAGTAAGTCCATTTTAAACCACTATATAAACTTGCTAAGGTTGAAACATGAACATTTTTTCCTTGGAAATTCAATCCAACGTGACAGAAACAGCTGGTTCCAGCCAGTTCCAAAATTGAGCCACTGCAGGACACTGCTGAGCAAAGACGATGGCATGGCATCTCTCTGAAAACTTAAGAAAAGTTAAGAAATGTTACGCAGCAGCTGCGAGAAAGAAGAGTAAGAAAAATGTAAGAGAAACAGCTCTGTAGACGCCAAGGTCGATGGAGAAGGAGAGGAAGAGCTACCCTAGGCACCGCAGCAGATTTCCCTGCATCCCATGAAGACCATGGTGGACTAGGTTATCCTTCTGCAGCCTATGGAGAAACACACCAGACAAGATATCCACATGGCAGCCAGTGGAGGACCCCAGGCTGGAGCAGGTGGTTCTGGCCTGAGGGAAGCTGCAGCCCATGGAGAGCCCACACAAACAAAGCAGGAACTGTGGCCCATTAGGGGCCACACTGAGGCAGCTTTTTCCTAATGGACTGTACCCCATGGAAAGGACTTATGCTAGAACAGTGCTTGAAGAGCTGCAGCTTGTGAGAAAAAATCATGAAGGACTGTGTCCCATGGGAGGGACCCCATGCTGGAGCAGATCAACAGTGTGAAGACAAACAAGCAGCAGAGATTAAAGTTTATTACCTAAGTACAACCCCCACAGCCACCTTGTACTGCTTGGGGAGGGAGGAGATAGAAAATGCAGGAATGAAGGAGTAAAGTGAGCCTAGGAAGAAGGGAGGTTCACAGGGGAAGGTGGTTTTAGTTTTGTCTTTTTTCTTTCCATCCTGCTCTATTTTTAATTGGCAATAAATTTTTCTTCCACAAGTTTTATCTGTTTTTGTGACAGTGGATAGTAAATGATCACTCTGTCTTTATCTTGACCCATGAACTTTCTCATCCTATTTTCTCCCTGTCCTGTTGAGGAGGAGGGAGAATGAATGTCCTGTTGAGGAGATGGGGCTGAACAGACATCTGGAACCCATATGAGGTCAAACCTATCACAGATTAAGCCATGTTTATTGTTTTATGTTAAAAAAAATGTTATGTCTTGAGTCTTACAGCTGGGCAAAAGGCTGGAATAGGAAAAAATCCTTTAAAATTCACTATTGAGAGGACCCCCAAACATAAACTGCATGAAAAAGGCATGAAGCTCATGACAGAAGACTTCCCTATCTCCCTCTGGTACAGAGGTAGCTTGGGTCAGGCAGCTGGGAGAGGCCATTGTAACTTCAGCTCCAAAGCCTCACCTAGGTTCCTGGAAAAGCTCAGAACTGGGCAGGCAAAAAGATCTTTAAGACAATGGCTTTTATGACAATGAGTTGTACTTCAACGATTATAGCCTGTTTGGAAGGGATGGGATCCACCTGTCTAAAAATGGCAAGAGAAGCTCTGTCAGCAGACTGGCCAATTTGGTGAGATGGGCTTTAAACTGAATCACTTGGCTGTGGTCCAAAGTGGCAATCCTCATGCCATTGCTTTCTCCTGGGGAGTGGGCCATGCCAACCAGGGCAAGCTTGGCTGCCTGAAGATGAGAGTCCTAGGGCTAACCACATCAGGGGTGTGTATGGCTATGGGAAATCCTCTTACACCCCTCCTAGGGAACCTGGATGCTCAACTGCCTCCCTGAAGTGCCTGTAAACAAATGCACAGGGCACAGGGAATAAACAAGAACTGGAAATTTATGTGTGGTCACAGAGCCATGATCTCACTGCAGTTTCAGAGACATGGTGGGATAACTCACCACTGGAATGTTGTCATAGATTCGTGTGTACTTTTTAGGAAGGACAGGTTAGCGAGGTGAGGTGAGATGAGGCGGTGGAGCTGGTCTTTACATGCGAGAGCATCAAGCTCTGCCCAGGGATAGACAGGGAGAGCTTATGGATAAAAATTAAGGGCCTGGCTAAATGGGTGACAATATTGTGGGTGTTTACTACAGGCCACTTGACTCAGACAAGGAAGTTGATAAGGCTTTCTGTGGGCAACTGGAAGTAGCCTTGAGATGACAGGCCATGGTTCTCCTCTGAGAATTCAACAACCCTGATATTTGTTGGAGGCACAACGTGGCTGCAGATACTGGAAGACAATTTGTTATTTCAAGTGGTGGAGGAGCCCATGAGGAGAGGTGTGTTGCCCTCCAGAGATCCCTTCCCACTCCAATAATTCTGCAGTTCTATGAATTTAAATCTTTGTATCCTGAGATAGCAGCACTCCTAGATCTCTTTATGTAGGGCTGCTCCCCAGCTAGTCCTCTACCCATTTAGATTGTATCAAGCACTACTCTGTACCAGATGCAGAATCCACCATTTTGATTTAAATGTCATGCCATTAACCATAGCCAAATGCTCATTGATCCACATCTTTCTGCATGATCTCTTGTCTCTCAAGCATCAACAGCAACTTTCAGGTTAAGCATTATCAGCAAACATACTAATGATGCATTCAAGTCCTGCCTCCTGATCATGGATAAATACATTAAACTGAACTGGGCCTAGATTTTAATCCTGAGGAATACTGCAGATGACTGTTTGTCAGCCCCACACACTACAACTCTTTGAGCTCTGCCCTTCTGCCAGTTCTTTAAGCAGTGCACCGTGGACCCACTCATCTCACCATTGAACAGCTTGTTCAGACAGGTGTTGTATGGGACAGTACCAAAAGCCCCACTAGGCGGGTGGCTGTATCATAGAAGCACATCAGATGAGTTACTCAGGGCTTTCCCTTTGTGAACTCAAGTTGACTGTGTGCTTGATGGTTGTATTGTTCTTTAAATGCCTTTCAATAGTATCCAGTATGATCTCCGTAAATTTTCCCTGGTAATGAGGTTAGAATAACAGGCCTGTAGTTGCCTGTGTCTTTCCTCATGCCCTTCTGGTAAATTGGATTAATGTTGGCCAGTTTCTGGTCAACAGGGATCTCCCCAGACTCCCAAGAGATAGCTCCTCCAGTGCTCTGGAATAAATCCCATCAGACACCCTGGACTTACAAAGATTAAACTGATACAACTGCCCATCTACAGTTACAGCATCCAGAAATGAAAAGTCACTGCTGCTGTATGTTCCCTAACTGAAAGGACAGGCCAGATCAATGTCTATCTATGCTATTGATGACTGATGCAAAAGCATTGTAATGCCTCTGCCTTTTCTTCATCCTTTTTTCAGGTGACTACCTCAATCAAGAATTGGTTGAATATATTCCTTAGATCTCCTTTTGCTCTAAACATACTCAGAATTTCTTTTTTTGTTATCTGACCCAACACTGGCCAGTTTCAACTCTGAGCTTTGGGCTTTTGTGTTTTCTCTCTACATATGGGAACCACAGCTCTGTAATCATCCTTTGAGGCCTGACCTCTCTTATAGACATCATACAATTTCTTCTCTTTGTGAGTTCTAAGAGGAGTTCCCTGTTCAGCCAAAACAAAAAAATTTAAACTCATCATTTAAACTCACTATTCCGGTGGCCAAAATAGCCACCTAAACATTCCATCTTCTCTATTCACAAACAGCAAGTTGGGAATGGGGGGCAGAGGGGTGAGTGTTGGGGAGACATCTTTCTTAGTTGTCTCAATGAATACTTGTGACAAGAAATTATCTTCAACATATTTCTGGAATTTCTCAGACTTCCTTGTCACAGCTGTCTGGCATTTCCAGTTGATGTCCAGGAAATTTTCCGTAAGATCTAGGGCTACTGGTCCAGATATTTCTCCTCCTTGTCCATAGATTAAGTAATCAGTGCCAGCATTTGGCTGAGTGAACAGCAGTAGACACCTACAGCTTTGTTTACCATCTCCCTAATTCTCACTCAGAGGCTTTCAACCACACTATCCCTAACTGCAAGGAATGTACAGTGAAAACTGTGCCTTCCAATGAAACTATTTGCCTTGCCTATGCCCCCTGAACAGCCTATAGCCCTGCATGCCAACACTGCAGTCATGGGACTCATTCTACAAAGTCTTACTAATCC